GGGGGGGACCGCGGGGGGGGGGGGGGGGGGGGGGGGGGGGGGCTAACTCCCACCGTACGCCACCCAGTGCCTCTCTTAGGTTTTGTTGTGATCGGGGGTTTGTTGTTTTTGTTGTTTGGATACTGTACAAGTTTTGCCGGAACTGCAGCTCAGTCACACATCTCCTCCGGGATCTCGTGGGGGTTCAGGATGCCCGGTACCGACATCTGGATCTTGTGTTTCTCCTCCTGGGCCTGACGGAGCGACGCTTCCCTCTCCTCCAGGAACAGGTCCGAGGTGTCCTCGCCTGCAAACTCCTGCAGAAAACATGGCGGTTAGCATAGCTACAGGGTGGTTAGCTTAGCTACACTGCCGTTAGCTTAGCCAGGAAGTCAAAGTGAAACACAAGGAGATAGGCAGTCTTCCCTACGTCCCAAATCCACTATGGATGCCTAGCAGTGTGATGTCATACACGTATGACGGCAAAAAGCTGCTCACTGACAATCACTAGCAGTGGTTAGCGATTTAATATAGCACGCTAAATCTTAAATGTACGCCTGATATATAAAAGAAGGGACGCAGTGCTATGCTACTAATTTTCAACACTACCACAACTTGGTTACAATGTCAGGAAAAAGTTTTAATTAAGAAGAAAAAGGTAGCAAGGGAAGTCATTCAGATATGCTAACTTGACTATGACAACCTTGACATGTAGATGTGCTGTGGAATTCAGTGGGTTTCGGTTCAGCTAAAAACTAAAAAAAAAAAAAAAGGGGGCCAAAAACCCAACCCTGACAGATCATCAGTAGAGCAGGTGTTTAAATTAGCTAATCAACCAACCCAATGTTAGATTAGCTAATAGCAGCGCTAGCTAATTAACCACCGAAGTGTTTGAGTAGCTAATCAGCCACTAATCTAGCACCAGACTGAAGTCTCATCATCCAGGTTTTGGTAGAAAAAAAGAAAAGTGATACTTATTGCAACAGGTCTGCTGGTTTCAACTATAAATAATAATAATAAATGATTGTACTTTGTTATAAAACTTTACACAGGAATATTTTAAAACTTATTTTTCAAGCTTTCATGCCAAGATTTTATTGCGTTTCTTTTGCTAATTTTAAACTTTGTATAATTTAAGACTGATTTTTATTATTCAGCGTTTTGGAATTTAATAAACATTATTAACCTAATGAAATTTAAGCATTTTCAAGGATTTGAAGCACCTTTCTAACAGAGAGGACATGTTTGATTTCCTTGTGTCGATCAGAGAAACTGATTTACTCCAACAACAAACAAGCTGAGGCCGTTCTATAGGCGTCAAAGAGAAACCCGACCATGTGAGCCGAGTTATTTGTGGAAACAACAGCTAGGCAGGAAGCTATGCCGTCTCTGATAAACCTTTGGGAGAAAGAACAGCAGCAGGAGCAGACCAACATCGATTCATAAAAACGAGCAAACCTCACCTTTATCTGCACCAGGAAGTCCCTCAGGTGCTCCTTGAACGCAGGAATGTCCTGGTTTAAACTGAACAGCCCCGTCACAAACACCTTCACCTGAGCGCTGTGACGGACGGAAGCACAAACATCCATGAACGTGAGCGAACGCTCGCCTGAAATCAGACGGTTTGTGGCGCTTGGACTCACTCCTGTAGGTGGGGGAACGCCGTCTTCAGCAGGTTGGCCACGTACTCCTGGATGAACACCTGGTTGTTGGTGGGACTGCCGGGGTTCAGAGCCACCGTGATCTTCCCTTCCTCCACCAGGTTGAACATATAAGCCAGGATGGACGCGTGCATCGTCAGACCTGTGAGGAACAGGAAGATGCCGTTATCGTTTTTATTCATCTTTAACCACAAATCAAACCTCCGGTCACTAGGTGGCAGCAGTGATCACATTAATCAACAGTCTGCCTGTTCAAACTAGTAGAAGAAGATGACCTACACTGAGTGTAAACTGTAAGCTGCAGGGTTTCCCCCAGTGTATTATAAGCCTGGCAGCCCGCCATGCTTTACTAGCCCCGCCGCCAGGCTAAGTGTTGCTTGTTTATGTTTCTAGGGAAAAATAAATAAATAAAATCTTTTCCTTTTTTAAAGTCAGGCTGCAAGCATCTCTTTTGCTCTTACCATTTCACTAGCAGAGCAGATTTATCCTTAAGGATAGGTTTATAATAGCATTTCACTGGAGATCTTTTCCCGTAACATATAATTACCCAGTAATACTTTTACATTTCCTGTCAACTTAACATCTTTTAATACTAAACACGGTGGGCCGCCTCGGCACCCCGACCACCGGGCTTAGAAAGTTTTCTGGGGGAAACCCTGAAACTGCCTATCTAAATTTTAACAAGCATTCCTTGATCATTCATAGATTAATTGATTAATTTTTTGCATTACTAACAGCAAAATGTGCTTAATTTTATTTTTATTTACAGAATTTGAGCCAGAAGAAGTAAAAAATTGCCGTATTTACAAAGAAATTTTTACTTTTTAAATACAAAATGTTTTTTTTACAATTTTGTCTTAATTACTTCTCTGAGAGTTTTTTTGAGTCTGTATTCTCTAGTTAACAGTTATTGACCATTATTCCAATAATCAAATAATCCTGATTAATCGTTTGAGCCTTACAATTCGCCCTTCATAACTATCTGCTTTTGTTACACCTTTTTCCACAATTGTCACCATCAGTTAAAACAAAAATGCATAAATTTTTTTCAAGATATTTGTTTTATTTTAAAACCTCGATAAAATAAACCTGTATTTATTTAAAATTAAACTTCTTTTAGGTGACAGTTCTCAGTATGATTGGTCTGACCGTTTCAGCTCTAATTTCAATGCAGTAGCTTTAAAAGTTTGTGTGTTTCATTTGTGTGAACTCACCGGCGGTGTGCGACGTGTCAGTGACCACGGAGAAAATGTGCTGCAGGATGTCGCAGAAGTACGTCTGGTAGAAGCTCTGCGCTGCGGCTTCCTCCTGCGCCACGTTCTGCAGCATCGTGTAGAGAATCTGCAGACCTGGAGCAAAACAAACGCGTCTAGAGTTCCCGACGTAAAATAAAAATCTACAGCTGGGCTTTAGTTCATCGTAAACATGGCTGCCGTTTGATCCAACATGTTTCTGCAGAGTTGCTGCCAATAAAACAAAAATGGCGCCCAACTAGTTTTTAAGCCAACCACTTGATGGAGGTGGAAATCAGGGATTAGTAACCAGTCAGGATAAATCTTCAGGGTTTCACCAACTCAAATTTAAGACTTTTTAAGATCATTATGAATGGAAATTATGAAACTTTAGATCTGGTTACATTCTTACTTTAATTACGGTTCCTTTTAATCTTTTTCCTAATTTGTCGTTATCGCTGTATTTGCGGCTTTCGATTGTCTTTAGAGTAACAACAGAGTTTCTGTTGCACCAAATGCTGCTTTTAGATTATTGTTAGCTGTAGCAACGACGGCGGCCATTTTCTGGGAAGCTAAGAGATAAAAACTTTGACATTTCTGGTTTGTGGCTTTTGGCAGCATCTTTGTTTATTGTCACTGCATACGTCTCTTACACAGCAGAAACAAAATATCATCAAGTATTTTTGGTCTATTTTCTAGTCCAAATATGTAAGGACCATTGGAATAAGACAAAGCTAACTTAAATGCAACTTTCCAGCAAGAAATAAATGCTAGTTTTAAGTAAATAATTTCTTAATATTGATGAAAAAGTGCTTTTTTTACTGGCAGATAAATTAACTTCTAAAATGTCTTGTGATAAGTTAAATCTGCCAGTGAAACAAGTATGTTTTAATCAGCAATAAGGAATTATTATTAGCCTCTATATTTTACTAAAATGTTTCTTGTGTTTTATTTCAAGTTTACTAAGATATTTGCAGATCAAAAATACCTTTTAAGATTTTGTCTTTTTCCACAAAATGCCAAGCAACCAGCAAGAAATTTGCACTTAGCCCATGATACACACAGAAAAGCTAGCTAGTAGTTAGCAAGGGTATAACAGCAGCTAATTAGCGGTAGCTTCAACCATACGCAATGAAGACGTTAATGAATGAACGACTCAAAACTTTTGCTTTGACAGAAAACTCACAAGGAAGAAAAACACTTTAACATATTTAAGGCCAACTTACATTTTTAAAAATGAACTTAAGACAATTTGAGGCCTTCATTTTAGAAACATAAATTTAAGGCTTTTAAGTGATGCCGACTTCCTGATTTTAGCGGAGTTTGAAAAGTTTGTTTGAGGCTTCCTACCGGTGTCGGCCACGTTCCTCATGGTGTGTTTGAAGGCCCAGATGATGGAGTCCAGCACCAGTTTAAACTGGGCGGGGGGGATGGCGAGGAATGCTGGGAAGCAGTGAGAGTTGACTGCTTGCAGCAAGTAGAAGAAGTGGGTTCTGTGTTCTGGATACTCCTCAAAGTTCTGCTCCATTAGAACAAACAAAGTAATTATTGTAAACTTTACATTTTGGACACGTAATGTGGGTTTGTTGGTGGTTTTTCCCACCTTGTTGATCATGTTTAGCGTGCACTCAAACACGGCGTCAAAGATCTGCGGGATCTCGCTGGTGATGTGGCCTCCCAGCTTGTTGACGATGGTTGCCATTGTGCTGAGAACCTCGGGCTCTCGGGCCGCCGGGACGTTGCGCTGATAGTCGATGAGGACGGCGTCCAGGAGGGGCGGCACGAAGTTTTCTCCAACCTGGACGGAGAAGAAACAGAAGAAACGCGCCGGACCTTTCAGTAACACCAGTGGGAAAACAGTAGGGGTGCTAAAACTGTGGCGCATGGGCCAATTGTGGCCCTACGACTGATTTTTGTCCGGTCAATCAAAAGCCAGTGATTGGTAAAGAAGGAAACATTTAAGTTTTATTAGAACAAATTAAAATTGAAAACATGGAAACTGTTCGAAGGTCTAAAACAAAGTATTTATGTTTTAATAAATACTTAAGTAAGTAGGACCAGAAATATCCAAAAGCAAAACTGGAGGCACCCAAACTACATTTAAACTTTGCTGAACATAGCAACTGTTTTTATAGATTGACCCAAGTACTGTTCTTGTTGCTGAATGTAGATTAAAAACAAAATCAGTCGTCGTCCCTAAAAAGTGGAAACTGCAATTTTTTCTTTTTCTTTTCATGAGATCACATGGATTTTACATGAGTGCACCAAGAACTTCTGGCTTTTATTGGTCATTTAAAAAAACAAAACATAAAACAAAAACGTAAAATGTGTATTGTCTTCCCACTCCAAAAATAACTCCCTGCTTTATGTCGGTTAAAACATTCGCTCCAAAAAAAAAAAAAGAAATAGTTTCATTACTGAATGAGGCGTGGCATCTCACCATCTGCGGGTCGTTTGATCGGCTAACCCAGCCGGAGATCAGTTTCAGCGTTTCTCGTTTCACCGTCCTCATGCTCCGGATCAGCGGCTGCTTCGTCACCATCTCACCTGCAGCAGAGCAACGGGTCGCACACGGTGAACACATCGCGTCAAACTCAGAGGAAGATTTGTTACGTTCACAGAGGTGAGCAGAGTTTAGACCAGGGGGCTCAAAGTGCGGAGCGAGGGCTTTGTATTTATATCACTTTATTCTCGTAATTTTATTTTATTTATTTTCTTAGCGAGGCTTTAATACTTCGTCGTATTTTGACTCAAGAAGTTTGTCCACCCTGGTTTAGACTCCGTCTGTCCTGCGCGCCGCTAACAGTGACGAGAACCCAGTGCATACCCATACCGTTGGTCTGAATGGCGGCAGAGATGTTCTCGCTGAGGCACTTGTAGACGTTGAGCATGTCCAGGTAGATCCGGCCCAGCTGGATGACGAACGGGTGACCCACGGCCTTGCAGGCCCGGACGTTGGTCTTCAGGATGCTGCCCAGCTGCTTCACCGTCTCCGGGTCCTTCAGGATGTCGACGTTCTGCAGAGAGGCGGCGCCGGTTAGCGCTCCGTACGTCGTTTTTTTGTTTTTCAAACAGGAGGAATGTTGTTGACTAACCTTAGTGGCCTGCTGGATGATGCTGTCCCACACCTGGTTGGGCAGCAGCATGTACTTTTCTATCAAATGCTCCTGGACCGCCTGGTCCGTCTGGGCTCCGATCATATAACCCACCGCCTCGTAAAACGTGTGAACCTGAACAAAAACAGGACAAACATGCATGAAACGCTGCCGTTAATCCGATGAAAGGTTTTTATAACGAACAGAACCACCTCGATCCGGAGGCTTTCACTCACAAGTCGACTTTGCTGCTCCAAAATCAGCTTTTAATCAATTCATGAAACTTGGCAGGTGTTTTCAAAGAAAGTGACTTAAATCTCGTTTTAATAATTGAGTATAAATTTATTGAATCAAGTCCAAAGTAATTAGAAAAGAAGATACTTTTATTTCAATACAGCACGTGCAAAATTATTTTAAACGATGAACAGAGATGGGAAGCAACTGGTTTCTTTTACTCAACCACATTTAACTTTTTTGAAAACAATTTGTTTTTAAAGTATTTTTACTAATTTTATTATGAAGTAGCGCTACTCTTCAGTAAAATTTCTAAATTTTTGACCCACTGAATGAAAAACAAACATGTTTTAACCAAAAACTCAAACCTGCAGTTTCTGTTAAAGTTTCATGAGTTTTTTATTGAAAGGAATTGATTTGGAAAGATTTGTTTTTGGCTAATCTGCTGGCTATTTTTCTGGATTAACAGATTAATACGTGGATATCAAATGGTGCCCGTTAGCATTTTTTTTTTAAGTCTAAGCTAAAAGCTAAAACTATGAACATATATAAAAATATTTAAAGGTTTTTTTCTTCCATCTTAGATGCAAAATATTTACATTTTTGGCTTAATTACTCATCTGAACCTGCTGCTCTTTCAGCAAAATTGTGTTTTTTGAGTTTCCTCCTTTTAACTATTATTTGATCACTAAATAAACAATTCAATAATCAGTTAATCATGATTGATAATCGCCTGGCGCTGACCTGCTGCGGCTGGAGGTCGCAGATGATGGTGTTGATGTTGTTCAGGATCTCGTCGATGAACGGCATCACCTCGCCCACCTGGACCTGGATGAAGTGGCGTCGGCACTTCTGCGCTATCTTGATGAAGGTGTCGCACGCCATGTCCTGGACGCCATCATGGGTCTCTGAGCAACAAGAAGACGGAAGAATATATTTAAAAATGTGAAAAATGAGTCTTCCTAGCTACAAAAAGGCTTTTATTCGTCATTTTTACCGTGCATGAACTCAAACAGCTTGTTGACGACGGTTTTAAGGAACTTCCAGTGAGCTCTGAGGAAACGGGGATACTGGCCGACGATGTACATGATGTTGGAGGCGATGATGGCCTTGTTGTCTTTTCCTCTCTTCTGCTCACACAGACCCAACAGATCCTGGAAAAAGAAGCAAGAAACACAACAGATCCTTTAAGATGCAACTAATAATTATAATCGGACTAAAACATTTGGCAAATTTTGAAAACTTTTTGTTTAAACTTTTTTTAATATACAAGATTAAAATAATTTAAGGTCCAAATAAACTAATAATTCAGTTCCTTTATTAGATAACAATGATAATTAAAAAAAAAAAAACGTTTTATTGCCTAAAATGTAACAACTTATAAATTTAAATGAGAAATATAATTCCTCTTTAGCCAAAATTGTTAGGAACAAATTATTTTTATTTTATTGCAAAAAGTTTGGACACCCCTGACTTACTTTAGTAAGAAAATGATTCGTATATTTTACCTTAATGACAGTAACGAGGAATCGCTTCTCGTCCTCCTCGTGCATGGCGCCGCTGATGGACCCGATGGCCCAGCACAACGTGTTGAGGTTCTTCCAGGACCATTCGGACCCATTCACCTGGTTGTGAAGCTTCTCTGTCATGATGCGCTCTGTGTCCGCGTAATCCAAGTGAGTCAGGTAAACTGCAGGAGGGGGAAGCGACACGAGGTCAGACGGAGTAAAGCGTCGACCCAACAGTTAAATCACCCAGAGCTTTGAAAATATGACACAAATTACTCAGAGGTTTTCCTGTTATTTTCTTGAACGGTTCTGGGTGCAGCGCCCCCCGCAGGCGAGGAGGGCAACAGGTCGGTTTGTTTGACGCAGTGCAGCGTGAAAGCAAACCACCTAAAAACCTTAAACTGAAGTCTGGAGCGGTGTGAATGCATATGTGAACGCTAAGCAGACCAGAGACTGCTCCAAAAGCAGGAAATGGACAATAAAGCAGGGAATTCTGGGTAAATACAACCAAAACAAGAGTAGCGCTAGCTGGAGAAACGTTTTTTGTTTTTGTTTTTTTTTAACCAAAGACACAAGAGAAATAAGGCAACCATTAAAATTTGTTCACATTTAGTGAAGGTCTTCTTCATAAGTTTTTGTAGCAGTAGTTCTTGGTGCAGCGCCCCCACGGGCGAGGAGGGGAACAGGATTTTCAAACAGTTCAGTTCGGTTGAAGGATTTTCAAACAGTTCAGTTCGGTTGAAGTGAACTCTGGTTCGAATGCATATGTGAATGCCAAGCGGACCAGCGACCACCCCAAAACCAGGAAATGTACTACAGCGCAAGGTATTCTGGGTAAAATACCACCAAAACAAATGTATGAGTCTAGCATTAGCGGGAGAAACTTCTTATGGTCTTTTACCAAAGACTGTAAAATCTCATACTAATCCATTTTTGTTTACATTTTGTGAAAAAGGAAGTTGCGCTCATTGTCTTCTTAAGTGGTTCTTGGTGGAGCGCCCCCCGCGGGCGAGGAAGGGAACAGGTTTTTCAAGCGGAGTGGTTTGTTTGATACAGTGCAGTGTGAAAGCGAACTGCACCATCTGAAAAATCTAACGAATGTTGAAACTTCGGTCTCCAATCAAACTGTGGTGTAATAACCTCCTGGGTCAATGTTTAAGCCCAGATTTACTCATGCCATATGATAATAATCTGATTAAATTAGCAGAACCTGAAGACAGAGCAGTAATAAACCTGTCGATAAGGATCCCTGCAGAGAATGAACTCCAGATGCCCCAGTTACCAGCTCATACCGAGGGTTTCCCTCATGTTCTTGTAGAGGTTGATGGAATCCGTGTCCTTCATGAACTCCCGGACCACCTCCCCCTGGTCGTTCTCCACCACCAGCACCTCCTCCGGCTTGGCCATCCGACTCACCATCAGGAGACGCACCTGCCGCGGGATATAAAAATCATCTGTCAGGACATGCACACTTCAGATGTATAAATTTACTTTAAGGCATTACCAGAGGGGGGGAATATTTACTCTACTTTAGAAGCTGCTGATTTATGAGTACCAGTGTAAGTAGGGTCTCTTTTTGGCAGCAACGTGTCTTACAGCGGTGCCAAATGATTCTAGCGTGTCTGTGAGTTGAGACGCTGCAGGATTCAAAAGGTTAAAGCAGCTCAGCCTCGTCCGTGTCATCTGCGCTACGTCACGATTCATTAATAAAACAATAAGCATGCAAAAGCATCGCTGTCAACATCTCAAAACTCTCCAACTTTCGCACGTTGCAGTGATCCCACAGCAGTTGCATCATGCATTCAGAGCCCATACTGTCGTCATGGACACTAATCTGCTCCTATTTTTGAGCTTTTGATAATTTATTTGACACAACAAACAACTCGAGTGATTTTATGACAAGAATCAGACGCAAAATCTGCAAATGGACATTTTAAAACCCATTGTGAGAAAGTATGTCTTTGTACTTATTGTGCACATTTATAATATTTAATCTTAGCCACTTTCAACCCAAAAGGAGAAACAAAAGACGTGAGATTTTGCTGCAGTAGGCGGTACCTTGGAGAGAACGGGGAGATAGAGTTGTCTGCGAGGTGGCACGTCAAAGTGCTGGTTGCCGGAGAGCAGAGGGGACGTAGACGTGGAGAACGGACTTTCTCTGTAAAGTTCAGCAGCCAGGTGGTTCCAATACTCCAAACAAATTTTAAAGATCTCGGTCTCTTCGACCTCCGACACCAGGAGCATGTAGTGGAGCGCCTGAACGAGAACGGCGAGTTGTCACACAGATGTTACATCTTTAATTTTACTTTTTTTCCTGAAAAATAAAGCCTGAGAACTTCCTCCCACCTCCATTAGTGTCTCTCTGAGGTTGAGCCGCTTCTCGATGAGCTGCCCGTGCTCTTTGAGGAACGTGCACAGAAACAGGCTGAGGTTCTGGATGAAGTTCTGCTCGTCGTCTTTCCCGTTGGCGTAGGCCAGCCGGATGTTGGTGTTCAGCGGCAGCATCTTAACAGACGTTTCTCGGTAAAAATCCGGCTCTCAGACGGCAGGAAAATAAACGATCCGTTTGGGTTCGACCCACCTGTTTGAGCTGACACATGGTCAGAGTGAAGAGGGTAACAAACTGCTCCTCGTACTGGCTCACGCTCACGCCGGCGATCTCCGTCAGGCACTTTAGCGTCACGTTTCGGAACATGGGAACGTTCAGGAACTGCAGGGAGATTTCAGACGTTCAACAAACTAACTGGATTACTCAAAATAAGAATCGGGTAGTAACTAGTTGTATTTACTCAGTCACTTTGTTGAAAAGAAATTTAATTTTTGTAGTATTGTAGACAGACAAAGGTAAAAGCTGAAGAAAATAAATTATCATGTCCATTGGATGTAACTGGATAGAAAAGCAGCAGTTAGACGACACAAGACGATCTTAAGGTTTCCTGCCTCTCATATTTAATTATTCCCACATTGAATGACAATTACCGGCATGCGTTTCTACTACACTGCACTTTTTCCTTTATTGAAACTACGCCATAATTTTTACTTGAGTAATTTTACTATGAAGTTTTTCTGCTCTCACTTGAGTAAAATTTCTGGATTTTCTACCCACTGAATGAAAAATAAACATATTTTAACCAAAATTCACCAGACACAGACACACCTGCAGTTTTTGTTCAAGTTTAATCAGTTTATTATCGATAGAAACTGATTTGGAAACAATTTCTTTTGGCTGATTTTGTTACTTATATGAATTATTGTCATTTCTGTCCTTAAAATACTGAAATTTCCACTTAACTTTATATTTTGGTTCATCTGATGAAGTAATTTTTAAATATTAATGGTTCATAGTTTGATAGGTGACTCAGTACTTCAGTAAACATTTACCAAATACTTTTTACTCTTACTTGAGTAAATCTATTAGGCACTCTTCATGTAATCCCCACCTTATACACCAACGTGCTGATTAGTTTGGTTTCAAAGATGTATCCCAACGGGATCCAGTTGAGGAAACGCAGGAGCGTCTCCAGGGTAGCGTGGACCAAAGGGGCATTCTGGGAGTTTTCCTAAAGGGCAAACAAGGACAAAGACATGTGGAAACCAAACTGGTTTTTGAGGGACCATAAATTAAGGAGATAAAGTGAATATCATACCATGACAAACTGGCAAAGCTGGAAAATCTGGGAGAATTCATTGCACATGCTGAAAGGAAAAAGGAGACGTTAAAGAACATCAGCATCCATAAAACCAACAAAATAAACCAGAAGGTTGGAAAAAAAAATTTTGGGTTCTCTACCCTGCGCTGCAGATGACAGCGACTTCATTCATTCATTCATTCATTCATTCATTCATTCATTCCACCAAACAGCAGCAGCAACACGTCCGACTCTCACCTGTCTTTCAGGTGCTTTGCCTTGACCTGGGTCATCTGTCCGCTGGAAAAGTCAAAGACTTCCTCGCTGAGCAGCTTCAGGATGACCATGTTGTTCTGACAGAGGCTCTCGCTGGTGCGGCTGGCGCCTACAATGTCACTGATAAACGTGGGCCAGTGTTTGGGCCACTCCTGCTTCAGGATCTGTGGACCCATTTTATCAAACGCATCAAAATCAGTCACAGAAGAAAAATAAATGTTTTCTATGGTCATCATAACTGTAAAACTACCTTAATACTGAAATGGTTACTATAGTTTACTTTTTGTTTTCATTAAATAAGGTTGTATGTTCCTCCAATCAATCTAAAATAATATTTTTAATAGGTTATGAACAGAATACACTGAATAACATCGATCATCCCAAACATAAAAACATTCATTATATAATGGCACCAACATTGGTCAAAAAATAAAGTTTTAAGTGACATGAATCAAAATAATGACATAAATCCAAAACTTGAGGATTTAATAAACATGAACTCTTAGAAAATGATTAAACTTACCTGAACCAGGATCATGTTCAGCTTTCCAATGTATACTTTCTCTTTCTACAACAGAGAAAAAAAAATAAAGTTGAACAAACTAAATTATCAAACCAGTAGTTTTTGTAATAGGTTGGACAAATCTTTGTTTATAAAGTTCAACTAAACCTAAATCATAAACATAATATTACATCAAAATTCATTCATACAGCATTTTTTATACAACAGAGCAAAAATGACACATTAAAAATTAAAGTCAAATAGCAAAAAATAATAATAAAAAAAAAATAAGGTTACAAAAGAAAAAAAGTGGCAAAGAAATAAAAAAGGGTAAAAAGGAAGAAAAATGTTTACTTTTATTCCGTGGTATAAGAGCAAAGAAAAGTTTAATTCAATTGCAAAAAAAAAAAAAAAAAAAAAAAAAAATTTTAAAAAAAAAAATGGAAAAAAATATTTTTTTGCTCCTTTTTTTGTTGGCCAAAATAATTTTACAAAAAATAAAA